TTCAAAAGCACTTGAAAGAGACGTTCAGGAAGCCAGAGGCCACCGCTTTGGAGAAGTTTTATGCTGATTCTGCCACAGCAGTGATCAAAACATATAAAGAAATGGACCCCAGCTTCTGCAAGGACATCACCGTAGTGTACGATGGCACATGGCATAAGCGGGGTCACACATCGGAGTGGGATCGGCGATTGACTTCTTTACAGGTCTCATCTTGGATGCTGTAGTTCTTTCAAACCACTGCCTTGGATGCCAAACAGGGCCCAAACCTGGAGATGCAGCATACGAAAACTGGCAGAAGCACCACATTTGCCAGAAAAACACAGACGCTAAATCGGGAAGCATGGAAGTGGAGGCAGGCTTGACTCTCTTTGGGCGGTCTGTATCCAAGCATGGCCTGCGGTACACCACTCTTGTGTCCGACAGAGACAGCCGTACCTTCGCTGCCCTCACAGAAGAGAATGTGTACGGGCTAGTGCCAATTGTAAAAGAAGAATGTCTGAACCATGTTCAGAAAAGGATTGGAAGTGCTCTTCGAAACATTGTGCAGAAAAGTGATAAGCCACTGAGTGGGAAGGGGAAGCTGACTAAAGCCCTCATTGAAAAGCTGACAGGATATTATGGTTGGGCCCTGAGAAACAATTCAACTGACCTAACAGCCATGCAGCGTGCAGTGATGGCAACATATCACCACGTCACATCGACTGACCAGGACCCTCACCATGAACTTTGCCCAGAGGGGGCTCAATCGTGGTGCCGCCATAGAGCTGCAGAGGCAAAGCGTGAGCCACAGCCAAAACATAAACACAGCCTACCGGACTATGTCGCTGCAGCTATGCTGCCCATCTACGAAAGACTGTCACAAAAGTCGCTTCTTCAGCGCTGCCTGGGAGCGAAGACGCAAAATGCATCGGAATCATTCCACTCCATTCTGTGGTCTCTGATGCCGAAGGAACAACACTCATCCTTGATCGCGGTAGAAACAGCACTGCATGAAGCAGTGCTGCGCTACAGTGCCGGCTGCTGCAAAGCAACCTAAGTGATATCGGACTCCATTGGACTTCAACCAGGTCATCTGGCCATCCAGCGAGCTCGTGAAAAAGACACTTTACGCCTAAAAAAGAATTCTAAAAGACACCAAGAGAAGATGGCAAAAGAAGAAAAGAGTGCGCCAGGACACTTCTAGCTACTGCGCTGGAGCTTTTTGAAGAAAACACGTGTTTTGAACTTTCTCAGCCTGTTTTCTCAGAACGAATTTTTTTCGCTAGTTGTGGTGCTGAGGAAAGCAAGAACTCGAAAACCGTTCATCAGATTTGTGTGCCGTTTTTTTATTCTGTTCTTGAATGACCTTGCAAGGGCGTCACAAGCTCCTTTTTTTGAAAATTGGTGCCGTTAATTTATAATAAACAATTAAATTTTGATGAATCTGGTCATTACTGGTTACATCAAGTTCAAAGTTGCGGGAAAATTTTGGGGGGGGGGGAATTTAAAAAAACGGCTTTGTAGTGCCCTGGGATAGCTATCAAGGAATGACCACAATGAATTTCAGCTTTCTACTATGTCCTGGGATTTCTCACTACTCTTCCTCAGGCACCCATGTGAAGCACCCAGTTAAACCTCAATAACTCTGGAACTAAGAAACACAGCTTCGTGAAACTTAGCAGTTGTGCTAGTTTGATTATAGTGAACAACCCCTGAAAGTTTCATCCAGATATCTTAAAAAATAAAAAAGTTCGGTCTCCAGGGTAGCCTCCCCCCTTAAGCAAAACGTCGAAAATATTTGCCCATGTCACTGCAAAAGAAAAGCCAGTGTTGTTGGGAAAAGCCCCACTGCACGAGAGAGCTACTGTAATATAGGCACAAGAATTCGTAGGGAAAAAGAATTCATCACCGAGGACCAAAAAACTGTGTAATTCTCGTCTGTTTCGCGTTCTTACTCAGTCCGAGAAAGGCAATTTACAGTTGCTCAACTCATCGTATGAGCCGTTGCTCGCCACCACTGCATTCGGCCTTGTTGCGGAGCAAGTGTAGTATGTTACGCGTTTCTGTCGTCGTAGGCACTTCTCGGGGCTTTTCCTCTTCTGCGTGGTCATCTGCATTGTTCAAGGCCCTCTCAACGATATCTGCATCCGACAGCATACTGGTAACAGGGACGTCCGCCTCGTTAGAAGCTTTGCTCGAAGCCTTCCAAAACCGTTCGCTTGTTCTTAAGCACTGTCGAGAGGATTGACCAGGGGGTGCCGAATTCTTTGGCGATGCACGACTTGCGTGGACATGGAGGAGCCCTAATGGCGAAAATAAGAACGAAATAGACTTTATAATGAGTGCACATCCTGGAATCGTGCAAGATGTGGAAGTGATTGGCAAGGTACGATGCAGTGACCATAGAATGGTGCGGTCTCGAATTCGCCTAGACTTGAAGAAGGAACGGCAGAAACTGATACGCAAGAAGCCAATAAATCAGCTAGCACTGAGAGGGAAAGTACAGGAATTCAGAGTGTTGCTGCAGAACAGGTACTCGGCTCTTAGTGAGGAAACCAACCTTAGCGTAGATACAATGAATGATAATCTGACGAGTATCATTACGGAGTGTGCAGTGGAAGTTGGAGGAAGGGTAGTTAGACAGGACACTGGCAAGCTTTCCCAGGAAACAAAGAACCTAATTAAGAAGCGTCAAATCATGAAAGTGTCAAGTACAACAGACAAAATAGAACTGGAAGAGCTTTCGAAGTTGATTAATAGACGTAAAGTATGCGATGTAAGAAGGTATAACATGGAGAGAATTGAACACGCTCTGAAAAACGGAGGAAGTGTCAAAGCATTGAAGAGGAAACTTGGGATAGGCAAAAGTCGAATGTATGCACTAAGGGACAAGAAGCAAAATACTACCAATATGGATAGGATAGTTAAAATAGCGGAGGAGTTTTACAGAGATCTGTACAGTAGCCGAGACAACCACGACTTTAATAATATAAGAATAGCTGTGGTCTAATGTCCCAAAACGACGTTATGATTATGAAGAACAGTGTAGTGGGGGCAAGATGGCAAGTTGGGCCAGTTGGATTACGTTCATAATTGAAAATTTTGTTGAAATGCACTAAAGTACGGACGGACAGAAGACTGTACTTGTCAGCCTCTTCTGTCCGTCCGTTTTTAGTGCGCTTCAGCAAAATTTTCAAATATGAACGTAGTGGGGGCTTTGAAAATTTTGACCAGGTTCTTTAATGTGTTCCTAAAGCCAAGTACATGAGCCTCGCACATTTTTGCATTAATTGAAAGTGCGGCCAATACCGCTGGTGTTCGGTCCCACGACCTTAGAGTTAACATTCGAGCGTAATGGTCACTACACCATCATAATGTGCATGTGTTGAATTTGTGAAGGAATTTAACTAGAGCAGGAAAATACAGATGCACCTGTGACAATATTAGGAACTGTACATAAGTCAAAAATGCAGCTGAATGTACATACAGTTAAAGGCAGTTAAATGTACATACAGTGAAATGTATGTGCATAACACTTTAGTGAAGTTACTACAGTAATCCCTTGTTAACTCGAAGCCCTCAAATCCAGGGAAAATTTCGGGATAAGCGGTATTTCTACTTAAGCAAAACGTCGAAAATGTTTGCCCAGGTCACTGCAAAAGAAAAGCCAGTGTTGTTGGGAAAAGCCCCACTGCACGAGAGAGCTACTGTAATAAAGGCACAAGAATTCGTAGGGAAAAAGAATTCATCACCGAGGACCAAAAAAACTGTGTAATTCTCGTCTGTTTCGCGTTCTTGCTCGGTCCAAGAAAGGCGTTTTAAAGTTGCTCAACTCATTGTATGAGTTGTTGGTCGCCACCACTGCATTCGGCCTTGTTGCGGAGCAAGTGTAGCATGTTACGCGTTTCTGTCGTCGTAGGCACTTCTCGGGGCTCTTCCTCTTCTGCGTGGTCATCTGCATTGTTCAAGGCCATTTCCAACGAAATCTGCATCCGACAGCATACTGGTAACGGGAACGTCCGCCTTGTTAGAAGCTTTGCTCAAAGCCTTCCAAAACCGTTCGCTTGTTCTTAAGCAATGTCGAGAGGATTGACAAGGGGGTGCCGAATTCTTTGGCGATGCACGACTTGCTTCGACATGCTCTTTCCACTTCGTTGATTAAAGCGGCTTTTCTCTCCAACGTTAGCGATTTGTACTGCTTTGGGGGGCAGATCTTGGTTGATATTTGGAAGCATTCATTGCACAGACCACGCATTGAAGATTCGTCTCGCGCGGATCGCTGGGAACAGAGACAACTACCTCGAACATGCAAGGGCTAGCTTACGTACTGACGGTGCTGACGGCACGCTGCACACCGTGCAGAAGGCGTGCACAGGTGCACACACTTGACCATTCCCATAGTTGCTTGAGAAGGCGAATAGCAAACGGCTGCGACAGCGGGAATTTCAAATTCACCCTTCACAACCGCGTTTAGCACGTATAGTAAGAGCTAAGCGTTTGCACAATGCCCTCGTTTCCTGTTGGGAGTGGACTTTGCCTTCTTCCCTTCGGGTTAAGTTTTGGAGATATACGCTTTCCCCTGCAAAAACCTTTCAAGAGGGGGCAAATACATGCCGCCTAAGGTGGGAATGGCGAAAAAAAGTTTCGACTTGACCGAGATTTCGGGATATGCGAGTTCGAGTTAACGAGTGTTTACTGTACACCCAGATATAACAAAATATCTCTTATGACGAAGTAAATAAAAATTGTCTTGCCGTAGACATACTGTTAGAAATGAATTTCTTAACGAACTTTCGGATATAGCAAACTTAGTTTTCGTGTAAGATGCAATTTCGTTATGATGAGATTTGAGTGGTTTTGTTCGCATGCAATTTAGGTAATGTATACTGCACACAGGCAGCACCTTTTACCCAAGTTAAAATGGCACTGTCCTATGGCTTGCTTCAGATGTTAAACGCCTTTTCAGCTCTGATCAGGTTAAAAGTAGCGCATGCGCCTCATTGACCTGCCTGTTGCTGCAGGCACATGCGAGCGGTACAGTCAGCCCTGTATCCAAGACCACCAGTACCCAATTAAGCGAAAGTCCATGCTGTGGGCCAGCCCAGGAGCTTTTTTGGGACCCCCGCACGGCCCCTGCCAACAGCTTCGCCTACTTCTCATAAAAAGGGGTCCGGTAAACAGAGGCTTCGCCAGGTGAGTGGCTCATAAATGTACCTTAATGAAACGAAAATAAATTGCTATGCACTCGATCTGTAGCACTCACCTGCAAAAACGAATGCGCACTTTCTCAAACCAGGGTGTCCCAGACCTAGAGCCTTTTTTTAGGGGAGGCCCCCTTTTTTGGGAATGTAAATAAAGGGACACTATAGAGAAAGCGATTTTTCGCGTATTAAAGAAGTACAAATTTCACAATCTCAAAAACGCCACTCTTGCTGCGACACGACGCTTGGTAAGTGAGACAACTCGCGAAAAGAAAATATGGGTAGAGACGCCGCAATGAAATTCATGCACCAGACCGGGGCGTTGTAGATCTCGAAGGCTTCTACTGGGTCCTGCGTAGCTTCTAATAGGTAAAAATGAAGCACATTGTCATCTGCGAGTGCTATAGACCTAGCATACGAAGTTTCGGAATACTTATCTAGCCCATGTCTTGAAATTACTAAAAATACACTTTAAAATTTCTGACGTCACCTGCCAAATTCAAAAATAATACAACCTTGATTTTCTCCGCTAATAATGAACTTATGTTAGTGAAACATATGGCATTAGAGTTCTTTGAGTGCAGTTTGTCAATATAAACCAACCCGTCGCTTCTCTTTAGTGTCTCTTTAAAATGAAATGTTTAAAGTTGCTTTTAACTTTTGCATAGCATTTGTCACCGTGAACTTCAAGTATTTAATCTTTCTAGTGCAACATGTAGGTTTTGAAACATTAATCAGTTTGTCGTGTTAGGAGCAACATCTTTTTTTCAGAACTGGAAGTTGCAGCAAATTGACAGGCAGTGTTTCAACAATGTGTAATTGGTACTGACTGAAAAAAAAAGAATGTTCAAAGTGCTCTTGAACAGAAGTTATATTGCGAGCTCATCTTGATGTCGAACAGAGATCGGGTTTTTGAAAGTCGAGCAGATTCAGCACCGCCTCCGTGCACCCGAACATCTGTGAAGCAGTCTACTTTTAGCTGAAAAAGCTAAAAGGTTGCAATTTCTGAAGTAATCATTCAGATTTCACAGGTTTGTGCTACAAATAGGCTGATGCAATTCTTTCTTCCTTTTGTGAATCTTTTGCCACATTGCATGCTTCTTGTAAAATTTTACATTTCCCGATTATTTTAAAATGCTGGTCAAGCCAGCTTAGGCTTTGCAACAGTTTTTCAAGCTGGCTGTCCGGGCTTGCAGCTGTCTGAAACCTTACCCGTGCCGGATGAGGTTTGCTACACTTGCAGTAAAGCGTGACATGGTGTTAGAATCGCAGTTATGCAATGAAAAGCGCGGCTTTAGCAGAGGCCACGCTTAGTGGGTGTACTGTATTTCTGCTGCTAGATTCTGTGACAAGTTCAATCTCTACCGTGGCATTCTCATTTCGACAAGGGGATGCCACGGCCGAGATGGAACTTGTCACTGAATGTAGTACCAGAAATACAGCATACATGAAAATAGTGTAACATAGAAGCACTGATGCAGCTTTAGATTTTTTTTCTTGAAGGCAGATGAACATAGACTTGCACCCTACACCAACATGTCAATCACTGTGCTATCTAGCTTATGAGTGGGACTAAATCTACATTCTCCTTTAATCGTGGAGGCGATCTCCAGTCGCTTCTATCATCTGGGTGTGTCCTCTCCTGGCCTACCAAAATTATTTCAGACTGTAATGTAGTTTGTTTATGTGCCTGTTTCAATTAAAGTCCTTCCACTGCAAGCTTTGAAACTGGTTTGCATGTTTTGCTCGTAAAATTCCAGAACTTGAGGTAGCAGTAACTTTACTTGGGCTCGTCTCTTTGTCGCTCTGTTTAGCACATAGCTTGTGTGCTAGCCTTTGTTGGAATGTTCCCTTGTTGTTATTTCAGTTTAGTTGACAGCGCTTATCTTTGGGAACCATGAAAATGCTCTAGGCATGCGATTCATAGTGCCATACCTATAAGAACAGGGCACGCTATTATGTAAACATACCCCCGAGTACTTCTTGTTAGGCTAGTTGGTAAAAACATGGCTGAAAAATAAGGAATGCAAGGCAGAATACCGCTTAAGTTTTACTTGTATAGAGTCGAACCTGCATATATTGAGATCTCAAAGATACTGCAACTGTACTCTGTTTCATAAGTTCCCTTCAGCACTGTGAAGGCTGCAGGGCCCCCAGCCAATAAGAAAGGCGATCAGCCCCTCTACATGTATTCATCCGCGCTGTGTCTGCTTATTGAATTGTCCTTCCACGCTCATTGCATGTAACATGGGTGGTTTATGAACTTTAAAAAATAAGTAATACTGTCAAACTGGCCATTACTCTTCAACTTCAGGAAGTTTGGCGTCTTATCTATATGATTTGTGGCTCTACTGAAGATCGGTAGACGCTCATACCGGCAGATATCTTCACTTTGTGGCTCTCTGACGCTGTTCGTGGCTCTGGTATGACTGCTTCTCTTTCGACGCGTTCCTTCTAGTCTCTCGCTCCAATGTTTCTTTTCTATCTTTTTTTTTGTTTCACCGAAAGAGCATCTGACACGTGCGGAACGCTGTGCAAGGTCGCTTGTCTGATATTTGGCGATGCAGTGTTTTTCGCCTGGCGGCACAGCCCTGGCATCGGCGCGTTAGGCTTAATCAGATATAAGGTAACTACACAAGGAGCATATCTCGCTAATAACGACGAAATGTACCTGATGCTTCATTCTCAGAGTAAGATCAAACAAATCGATGGCTCATTTGACCATTTATTTGTTGCTGTCAGCGCAATGGGCGTTTAGCAGGGGCAAGTTCGAATCAAAGCGGGTGGTCGCTCTGCATGGGCGCTGCCATGTTGATTTGTAACCATAGTTATTGCCGGTAACTGACACAAAAAATTAGATGCTTAGGAAATAAATGCGATGAAGAAACATATTGCACACACCAAACAAATGTCAATTTTAGACAACCCTGCCAATTTGAAGGCACTTCTATGAGGGGCTAGCGTTTCGCTAAGCAAGTGTGTGGCTTTCTTACACCCCGTAGCTTTGGTAGTGCTGAACCAAAGTGGTGTAACAGAGTATAGTTAAATATATCATATGATTCAATAGGGCACTTTAAAAAGGGTTAGCCACATTTTCTGTGCGCAAGCTCATTTTACCACACTGCTTTATGTTAATGCAAGAAAGGTAGCTTTACAGCAGTGTGTGAGGACTCTTTAAGCTCTTATTTTTCAGCGTTCAGTAGTTACATGTGCAGGTTATATATGAAAGCAAGGGTCATGTGTAAAAGTAATACAGCATTTATGTAAACAGAACCACTACCCACATGTGCAGCTCTTTCGGCGCCAAAATGCCATTAGTCTGCCTCGGCCTGAATTTCGGCCTTGTTCTGTTGGCATCACTGATTGTCGCTCTTCGGCTTGCTACAATTTCGCATGTGGCATGTGTTGTCACATAGCATAACATGTGTTTAGTAACTCAGCCCTGCGTTCTTTTTCGTGTGCACTTTTAGTTCTGGGCACAGGTCTTGGAGAAACCTGATACAGCACTTCTCTTGTCACCAAGCCGGCAACGACCACAGGTGGGTTTCTACTCTTTGTGCTGTTGCTCTAAGGTTTTGGAAACATTTTGTGGTACAGTATCATTGGGAGAGTGCAACGCTGTTTGCATTATGCTCCCGTGTTTGCGGCTTACGTACCAGTGCCTTGAAGAACTGTTTATTTTTCACAGTGACCAGTTCTAGTTACAATAGAATGAAGTTTATTGGAACACATTTGAGAGCAATGGTGTTGGCCAGGCAATAAAGAGCACGCTGCGTGAAGTCATCGTACTTACTCAATCTCATTGTCGACTCTAATGTAGGTCGACCTTTTGCAATTGCTCAGCATAACACATCCACAAAAGAAAATCGTGAGCGCATTTAATAAAGACATTTACGTACCATGTCGCTGAAGAAAAACTGGGATTTCAGTTTAGAATGGTGGCTTTATGGCAGCACCTCGGACCTGTACAGACAAGCTAGCTTCACGGCAATTGGCAGGGATTATCTGTAGAAAAGCTTCTGCGAATCATTGCTTAAAGTACTGCTTGCATGCAAGGAAATGTAGTATATGTCACAGGCACGGCTGGAACATAAACTTAATGTTGTAATCATGCCACAGCGTGCCCGATTTCTTGTTAATTTAGGTTGCGGTTGTAAGTCTACCATGGAAACTAAACAGATTTTGGTTTCGATTGAAGTCAACTGCCCACAATGGATTTCAGATTTAGATAAAATGGGTATATCTACAATGGTATAAATACGGTACTAGATAGGGGGAGGGGGAAAAATGCAGGTAAGGTGAGCATCTGGGATTTTCGCACCAGTGCAAAGGAGGCAATCGAAAGTGAGCAGCTAAGCTAGAACTGAGCTCTCCACATGGCCGATAAAAGAGGCAGCTGGCGCTCCCCCTATCTTGCAGATAACATGAAGTGATTGCCAAAGCTGAGCAAAATGACTGGCTGCTAAATGTGTGTTGTCTTCACACACATGCTCAATATTGGAGGTGACATGACCGAAAGGTAGAGACATTGTGTATAGGCACTTGAGCTGCCTATACACAAGCACTACGAAATTCTTTCAACAGCAAGTGTTTCACTTTTTGTTTCTGTATACATTGCTCGGAACGGAGGCTTGACTGTAAAAGGAAAGTTTGGGGTGCCTACACCATAGGTCGGTAAAACAAAAGTGGAACTCGCTCACTCACTCGAGAGATACATTTTGTGTTTCGCACTCGCTCGGACCCAGGCTCGCCAAAATATTGCGCCCCGATTCGTAGCTCGATCTGTGTCTGGGTGAGTCCAATGTACTCGACCTATGAGTGAGTTCGCCGACCTATGGTCTACACCACTATGCGCTTCTTCACATCTGTGCCTACAATTTTTCTTTCCTCAGGTGGCTGATCGTAGGGTTGATAAGAAGACAAGCAAGTGCTTGTCGACAAACATTAAAGGTAAGCTGCACACCTCTCTCAAAATATGCCGCTGTGAAGTGCATGTTGAAAGGGAGTATAGTTTCTTTTCAATACTGTACGACAGTGTAGAAAATAAAGGTGTTAGACAAGGCCAGGAGCATGGCAGGCAACCCCGTGGCAGGCTGGCAGAAAGGCAGAGCAACGGGAGAACATGCAGAGGGCGAACACATAAACCGAGCTTCGACGAGACTGCTCTCCTGTGTTTATTGCAGGCTGTTTTATGGAGTGGAAAGAAGGGCGATTCGCGAGCGAGGCATGAGCAACATGACTGGCATGCCCACACGGTGTTGGTCGCAGGGTTGATAGCCCGCGTTTGTCCTATTCATAAAGGGGGTGCCAAAAATGTATTATTGAATTACCGCCTGATATCGATTCTACCGGTACTCTCCAAAGTTTTTGAAGGAATAATACACTCCAGACTGGAATGCTTTTTCACTAAGCACCTGGTAATCAATAAAGCACAGTATGGGTTTCAAAAAGGTAAGTCTACGGAGTCGGCGCTATTAGATACGAAAGAGGAGATATTAAAAAACATGAAAAACAGAACCTACACCATAGGTCTTTTCATTGACTGAAGAAGGCCTTTGACACAGTCAAACATGATATTCTGATATCTAAGTTGCACGATTTTGGTGTAAGCGGCGTGGCAGCTAAATTAATACAAAGTTATCTTACTGTAAGAAAACAATATGTTAAGGTAGGTAACCTTGTTTCCCCAATGAAAACTGTTAAAAATGGTGTACCGCAGGGTTCAATCCTTGGACCGTTACTATTTATAACATATAATAACGATCTGTGTGACATTCCAGGATCCCCAAAATTATTTACACCGACGACACCAACATATTTTTTACAGGTAGAATACTCATGCACCTTGAAACTGAAGTAAATGATTACTTACTCAAATTGGAAAAATGGCTTCATCAAAATAAGCTCGTGCTTAATATATCTAAAAGTAAGTACATAGTATTCCAGCCTATTAACAAGCCCTACGAGGACGACATTAACATCTTTTTCAAAAGCAAAGGCTGGAGCAGGTTAAATCGCGAAAATTCCTCGTAGTGTGGTTCCAAGAAAATTCGTCTCGGAATACCCGTGTTGAGTCTCGCATCCGAACTAAGTAAGACTGTTGGGTGTATATTTAAAATAAATCCACTTATACCAATTTGGCTTAAAAAAAAGATATACTATGCTCTTTTTTTTGCGTTTAAATTATAGTATGCTTGTATGGGGCACTACAAGTGAGAAGAATTTAAATAAACTAAAAATCTTACAGAAAAAAGTTCTCCGTCTATTCGATGATTGTTATGGCAACCCAAGGAAGATTCGTAGCGGTCCATTTTTCATAAAACATGGTATACTCAAAGCAAGACAGGTGTATGAATATAAGCTATTACTTTACATTTATAAAAATAAACTCCTCACTATTACGGCACCGTAAGGGGTACTGAAATACTTGCTCTGTAGGCAACAATTTCGCGTTCTTGCTACTAGGACTGGATATGGTAGAGCCCTAATTGCATACCGCGCCCCACAACTTATAAATCATTTAGGTGAACAATTTAATTTTAATCTCTTATAATGTAATTCAAATATCACATAAAACATCTCCTCATTAATTGAGTAAAGTAAACATCATGTTTCCAATAAACTTCTGGCTAGGTTTCACATATACTCTCAGCCTTTAGGTACAAAACGCGTGTATATACAGTGGCATGTACGTACATATGGGCAGATGTATGTATTAATATGTGAGTGTATTATATGAATATATCAATATGTATGTGTTTTTTTGGATATGTAATGAAAAGAACCTCGATGTCTGATTCTGTGTGTCTATGCAGCCTATTTTTTGTACTTATATGCCACCTATTTTTGCTTTTATGCTATTTCTGTGTTTCTGTTATTATGCTGCTTCTTGTATTGTGATAATTATTATTCAATGTTGCACTGTTAGCTGAACTTTTTTGGCGTAGCGAAGCCACGTCAGGCCGAATGGCCTTTAGCTTCGCTTCGTTTTTCTGTATTCTCTCCAGAAATAAAATCTGTTCATTTCATTTCAAAAGGGCACAGCGAAGGCCTATCTCCACGCAGTGTCATGGACAGTGTGCTTGCATGACACCAGGGGTCTCATGACACAACAAAAGGGATTTCTACAAACTGAAAGTATATCAATTACGATGCCACATGGTTGGGATGAACAAAAAGAAATGCAGCCTGGAAAGATGGAACACTTTGTTGGCCTAAAATTGTGCCCAATGAGAGAAACTAATGCTCAAAGTGCAATGAAAACAGCAGGGATAGACGCCAGTCACCTGAAATCTGAAAATCCGTCATTTCTTGCTCATCAGTGTAAAACATTGAGTTTTTTTAGAGGAGTGGCAACATTCAGAGACATTCGCAACCTGAGCAGGCCAGTACCAACGTGTGCAACAGGTCGTTGCATAAAAATGAAGGGCATGTGGCTTTACACTCTCAGAAAACATAGTCTTGATGTTTGAAACTGAAAATAGAAGCGAACCTTTCTTGGTGGTCTAGTGGCTAAGGCACTCTGCTGTTGACCTGCAGGTCATAGGATCGAATCCCGGCCGCGGCCGCCATATTTTCGATGGAAGCGAAAATGCTTCCAGCCTGTGTGCTTGGATTTAGGTGCACGTTGAGAACCTCAGGTGGTCGAAATTTCTGGAGCCGTTCACGAGGGCTTCTCTCATAATCATGCGGTGGTTTGTTTTGGGACATTAAACTCCTACAAGAAGTAGGCAATAAAAAAAAATTGCCACCATATCCACAAAGTGAGTCGCCTTACAGGAGCTTACTCGGTGGTGCACGGGGCGTTTCTTGGGGAGACCATTTCTGTAGGAACGCTTGTTAACGAGCCAGCGCATGATGGATACGCTGAAGGCAGCATTGTCGGGCACATTAACCACCTGTCCCTTTATGCTATACTGGCCGCTGGCTAGAGTCGAATTCCTAACGCTCGTAAATAGCAGATGTGGAGCTATCTGGCGTTCCTCAATGGGGTTGAGAGCAGGCAAGTGTTTTTTCCTTCCTCCCAGTTCGGAGGCGGCGCGAGTTTGCATGCAACCAGACCAAACACCGCTGACACCCTACTTTTTTCCTCTCTTTAACATTCCTTTCTCTCCTCCACTACTCATCCCCCGTGTGGTGTTATTGAGGTAACCTCCTGAGAGAGAGACAGTTACGACGCCACACTTCTCTTTTCACTTTTCTTTCTTACAAAGCCACTTTGTGGAGAAGAGTGGGCAGGTCATTGAAAACCGAAGCCTTGGGTGGCAGCTTGCCATCTAGTGAGCATTTTGGAATCGCCAGAGAAGCAACCTTAAGCGGCGACCGCAGAAATGCACACACTGGCAACACTAGTGTACACGCCGGCAGCCGCCGTACATTAAGCCGTGAGCAAAAGGAGCAAGCTCCTAATAAAGCAAAATGTGTCCTCCAATACTTCAACGCCTACAACACTGCTCAAGGGGGGAGGCTACCACAGAAGGGCAACTTTTTTGTTTGTTGAGATCTCCCAATGAAATTTCAGGGTAGTCTAATTATAAAGCTATTGGAATAACCACAAAATTTCATGCATTTAGGTTCACTGGTTCCCAAGTTACAGCCATTTATTAGGGTAGTGCACATAGGTTTTTCAGTCAGGTGCTTGTGAATTTATTCAATGGGCTAGCGCCGTGAAATTCACCGTAATGATTTTCGGATGGACGCTTTACACTACGACAGAGACCTTTTTTTCTAATTCCTTGCAGAAAATTTATAGCAGAGCAACAAATTTGGTGTTTGCCATTGAGATTTTATCAATGAAATTTTAATTATCACTAATTACAGATGCAACAAATGTAAAAAGCAGTTCTGTCACTGTTTGGGCTATTTATCAGGGTACATAATAAAACAAATCTGATAGAAATGAGATGAATGGTTGAAGAGATGACGCCAGACAAAACAGCCTCACTGGCGAAAAAAAGTCATTCTGAGAAAACGGGCTTTGAAAGTTTCCAACTCGTATTTCGGTCTAAAATTACCCTGCAAAGTAGCTGGAAATGTTTTTTAGGACTCTTTTCCTTTTCCGCTTTTCCTGCTTGTGTTGCGGCCGTTCCTGAGCCTTTTTCACATGTAAAGGGTCTTTCTCCGCTGCCCATTGGTTGCCAGCATAGCGCCGAGGTTTGGTTGCAAAAAAGCAACACGTTCGCTATCTTCCGCGGCTAACTCCTCGCACGTCCAAGAACCTGTTAGCAAATGCACAGTCGGCGACGCCGTTGCACTGTTCGAGGCCGTAATCACTGCAGTTAGCGAGCGCAACTCGTCAGGCGCACTTGAGCACGAAACCCCAATACCAGCCTCACTTGTGACGACGGAGCGTTGCGCCGATGGCGTAGCAACCTTGACGTCACTGATAAGCATCAATGCAGTCATCGTCTTGAAAAGACGAAGGAGAAGCTGCTCAGCATTTATGCGACTGTCGCCCAGCATTGGCGCGTGAACAAGCCTCACAATGCGTACGAGCGTCATCGGACGCTTTCTTGAACAGAACGCGTGCAGAGTCTCAAACTTTGCCCTGCCCACTCTTAACGACAGAACATCAATCAGTGTCCCGTGAATAAGGGGAAGGGGAAAGATCATCTCATAAAGGGGGTAAAAGGTTGAAGAGCACGTGTGAGAACAGAGCGAAATGATCGCAAACGGGACGCACAAAGCACGCCCAGAGAACAGTGGTGCTTGCAAGGCCGCGCCGAGCAAGCACCACTGTTCTCTGGGCGTGCTTTGTGTTGCAATTTTTCGGTTTTCAAAGAGCGCGCCCCTCTTAAGGCATTCCTTGTGGACAAGTTCAGGTCCTGCATGGTTTCACTGAGAGCTTGCACTGCCATCTGGTATGTACAGCCGCGTAGTCTGAAGTGCCGAGGCACTCTAGTGCTTTGTGTGGAACTGTCACTGTAGAAGTTTCATAAGCCCACATCTGCATCCAGACCCAAACACTCGTTGAGCTTCTATTTCTCGTGAAGTCATTGAAGGTGTTAACGAGGGCAGTCAGTCGTTTGCTGGTTCTTGATGCCCAGATGGGCAAGTTGTCTGGCTTCTCGGGCGCGCTGAAGGTACATGGTGATGTCGAGGTTTTCTTCGTCGGTGATGTTGGGTGGTATGACATCGAGCATGATTGTGAGACTACTAACATGAGACATTTTGAAAGGCTCCATCTGGGTGGTTTCTTATAGTGCCGTGTTGCAAGCAAAAGTTGCACGGGTTGAGAGGGTCCCAATTTATGTATTCGACGTTGACTTACATTACTACCGTCTTGACAGCTGTCTACAGCAATGCAAGAATTTGTGAGAGTTGGTAGAGCTTTGCCGTCGTTGAGTTTTTCTTTTTAGTCTGTGTGTGTGCATTGTTTTAAGACTTCAACTTTTTCTGTGAACCTGCGGCACGTTCTGTACAGGTCTGGCTTTTTGGTGCAAATAACGTGAATTAAGTGCACTCAATTAGGGTTTCTTCTAGTATTACGTAGGTGGCACTAAAGAAAAAAGTAGCCTTTCATTCTTTTGTAGCAAACAGGTACAAGAAAAGCTGTCCGCATTTCTCGAATATGCCTATATATTGAACCAGTTATTTCAGAGTGTCATGCTCTAGCTAGGAGTGGTCGGATGTGCCTTGGACATTGTAGAACAACATAGTTCTCCTCACATAGTTACTAAGGCTTCCTTTTTGACACGTTAGCTGGGGCTTGCATGGGGTGGGGATTCCCATTTGTTTGCTGCTCAAGACGTGGTGACAGCTTTGCTCTTGCAGTTCTTGATTGCTCTGTCTATTGACAGCATATGCGTCTCTGGCACGTGTTTTGCGGCGGGGATTGTGAGCAGGTTCTGTACGGTTTGAAGTCGCTGTTATTGATTATTCTGCAGCAGAGGAAAAATTCATACCTGTCCCAGATTTGAACCTGGGACTACCTTTCGAGGACTATCGCTCTTACTATCTGAGCCTGCAAGAAATCTAGTAGATATTGGCCTAAGGGTAAATTAAAAGCTGTAAGCACGGGATGCAGACATTATAATTTGGCATCCCAGAGTTATGAGTTGACTATTGATTTTTGCTGATGCAATCAGTACCACTGGTCAGCATAGATAACAGCATTTTCACTTTTGCTCGGTAGTGAAGTGTAAATTAGTAGAACAGACTGCTTCATATTTGCTCCATATGTCCACTGTGTGTACGGAGGGCCAGAATTCTAGCAGCTAATGGGTGCAATATTAGAATTCTCTTGTAAGCACATTGCCTGTAAGCATCTTGTGCGTCCTGTCAGCTGAGCTTGTTCATGATGGCCATCTGCTGGCCGTGCAGCTGCACCGACAAAAGACCAGTGTCGATCCCCGTTTACACTGGTCCAGCCTAGGGAAATCACCGGTTGCCAGGTTTCACGGTTGCCGCGTCTCATCAAATCATCTGTGCGAACAGCTGCCAGCAACGAGTCTGAGCAAGCGCGAGCGCTTCCACAGAGTAAGCAGTTATTGTCGTCCCAAACACGTTGTGGTGGCTTAGTGGTGTAAGCACGACGGTGGCATTTTAACTCTTAAAAGGGACCTTTGAATAAAACAGTTCATTGGTTTGGATTAATAAAATTTAATGACTCTGTAGTGTCACGAGTTTTGCATTCGTAAGTTCATTATTAGCGGAGGAAATCGAGGTAGAAGTGTCGTTTTAAAATTTCTCGCTGAATTCTCCGCCCGTAACTTCACCGATTTCAAAACGATTAACAGCTATGCAGGACCGAGTGATGGTGTTTGGTGTGGAAATGTCAAGGTGGTTCCTACACCTTCACTTTCGTTTCATGCTTTTTCTCACTTGCGATGTGTCGCCTCATGATCAAGTGGTGTCTTCAGGATTGTGAAATTGTACTTTACTGGTACAGTAGACTTCTTTTAAATGAAACCTGAAGGGACCAGGAAAATGTGTTTCCTTTAAGAGGAGTTTTGTTTATTGAGAGTTAAACAGGGTTATAATATTGAAGTACGAAACCAAACATATTACCGGCAGTTGTTCCATTTAAGCAGCAATTTCATCTAAAAGAGTTTCGTGTGAAAAATAGTCTTTCTTTAGTGTCCCTCTAAGCTGGGGTGAAACCTTAAAAATGAGTTAGGAAATTTGGCTGTAATGTAGTAATATACGCTATGGCTATGAAATTTGCAAGGAATCTTAAAGACAGATGCAGCTTGGCACAGGGGCTCAATCATTTCAACTGGTATTTTTCATTTTTATTTTTTCTACCTAGCTTATTTTTTTTAATTTGCTATCTGCAGAGCGTTGCAAATTTGCTAAAGTGTAGCTTAAATTGTGACTGCACAACAAAAACTTGATTTATGTTTTTGCATTTCCTAATGCATGAAAACTGCCACTTAGGAATGTCATTTTTTTATATACTAAAATTCAAATGCACGTATGCTACAGATTCTAGTTGCATCTATCTAAATGACTCTAGTTAACACACATTAGAATTTTGTTTGCCTATGCTCTATATAGTTCCTGAAGAAAGGTACATAAGCCTCTGAAATCCTTTTGAGAGAAATGCAGAGACCACACTAAAATACGTGCTCATTTCTTATCAACATTTCCAAGCCCAAAGACCAAAAGTTATTTTTGAAAAAGTACCCAAGTGGGATAAATTTTTTGAAAGCTAAAGAAATTTTCTATCAGGCGATGGCAAAATCGAATTTTTCTACTGAACAAAGTCTCTCTGCACCATCGAGTGGAAGACTGTTTTAGACACAAGGTGCTTTAGTTAGTATGGTATACTTCCGTGAATATGAATTTTCGTGGGCCTATATCGAGCCCAATTGTTATGTATAAGGTGGAACTTGGACTGTACGTCCCCTGGTTTGGCGACGACCCGCATTTTACAACGATTCTGTTTGGTCCCAGCAAAATCCCCATAGAAGCAATGTAAATAATCCTTGGTTATATAGCACAGTTTTACGCGGACCCCACAGCCTATGACGACTTTCAGATTCCATTCGAAAGAATACTAGAACCAAACGTCGTCCAAACATTCAGGAGTGCAAAACATAAGCTTGTGTTCCCTCTGGCTGTAGTAGTTACCTGCAAGCTATAGCCACACAGAGTAGCTTCAGCTGGCCGAAGAGGTGATATTTTTCACGTTTTCAATCTGTGGAAACTTGCTCTGATCGACATACAGCTGATCTCTTTGCTTTGTCGCAGTCACAGGCTCGCGCACGCATAAGGAAGCGACACAGCTGTTTTCACCGTGCAAAATTACTTTCACTTGATGTCCATCTTTGGATAATAGCGAGAGATCACTAGTTGCATTTCACAAGCCAACAAATTGCAATGCGCACAGCTCAGTCGTGCACGAAGGCATTATACGCGAACTCATGGTCTGTCGTCATTATGTGATAGCGATGACACTGCGACTCTTCCGATGGAAGACTGTTGGCAACACTGTTTCAGTTTCGTTTTCTCGCACTGGCTTATACAAGTTTGGTAATACGACGCCTGGATTATACAAGTATTGCAATTTCGCATGGTCCCCCGAAAGTCGTATAATCGTGGTTCCAGCTGTACCAGACTATTATTTTTAAATGATTCACTAGAACTTCCTGGGATCATGTTTTTGATAAACTGGCTACTGGTAGGTGGTAGAGTTTAGCATGTAATGCAAGATCATCTCTTATCTGACAACACTTGCGATCAGTGATAGAAACTGATATCGCTAAAAGAGCTAGTATCTTCCAAGCGGTCTCGATCGTCGAAGTGGTCTCCAGTGGTCTCGGTTGCCGCTTGTCGAGATGTATCAATCAGCCAATTCCGCCTAATGCGAAGGCTAAGTTTAAAAAAACCTTGCTGAAGAAAAAGGATATGTGCCCAGTGAAAGCACTCGTAACTGTAATGCACAGATTTTACTGCTAATTTTTTGCTGAGTGCCTTGCTACAACAAGCTTCAAGTATCTGACCAAGTTTTTGGAGCAGCTTTCGGTCACCCATCGCACGGCTGCCAATGCCTAAAAATTCACAAGTTTATCATATTCCATGACAAAATTAACAAGTTAAGCAGTGACAAAAGGGGGATCCTTCCAAGGAGGGTGAGCAGCGATTAGGCTGGAAACGTGGGATAGTTGGTAATTCATAATTGTTCAGCCAACTGGGAGTGTGGGAAGAACACACACACAAAGCAAAAAGGAGGCACGCAGCACGAACGCTCGTGCTGTGTGCCTCCTATTTGCTTTGTCTGTGTCTTCCTCCCACGCTTCGCAGTTCGCTGAACAATTATGAGCAGCGATTAGTTTGAAATTTGACCTCTTTCAGCTGGCAAAGCGATGCATATCTTGGCAGTCGTAATCATCAGCGCCCAGTGTATGCATTGCCATTGTCAGCTTGAAAAACTCGAACGTGGTAAGATTCTCACATTGTTCTGGCATCAGGGGTGTAAATTGTAGATATCACACCCTTAGAGTATCCAGATTTATCTGCGATATCTAAACATTCGTCACTCTCTACAGGTATTCCTGCCAGTCCTTTGTCTTATTACTGCCGGCAGCGAATTGCTGACATTCAGGCTGAAGGAATCTCGAGCAAAAAGGGCTCAGAGCTGCCACAACTACATAAAGCCATCTGTACCACTGGCAGAGCATAACGACTCAGAGCGGAAGCCAGCACGCCCATTGCCTGTAGATGCACTTCCAACAGGTACGCAGACGTTTTGTTCATGCTTCTTGACATCAATAACGCATGCGAGGTACCCTGTTTATAAGAGACACCTCATATAAAAGGCAAAAATCGCTGTCTGGAGCATGCCTTATAAAGGTGTTCGTCTGTATATTCAAGTCATTGCAGCCACATAATGCCTCATTGAAGCACGCCCCACCAGATAAGTTTGACAGAAAACAGTTTAAACTTTGTAGTTATGCAAAAATAAAAATTAAGTGAAGATGTACTTCTCACAGCGGCCTGTTTTTGGTCCCCAACTTTCCGGGAGCAAAAATGGTACTTAGCTGTTCTTTCAATGCAAGACCACTGTTTCTCTGCTTCCGTTGCCAAAAACATGCACGGGCCTAATCCTGTGCTTTAAACAATGGTGGGACAAGCATGTTTCTTTGAGCATATAGGGCAGACATGGCATCCCCCCCCCTCTGACTCTTTCGTGCATAGGCTGTTGTACTCTCCCAATTTTGTGTTAAAATTTTGTTTTTGTGTTTCCTTAATGAATATTATTGCATTTGAGTCCCAAGCTCACTGTAAATGATTGATTGATCAAGTCCACGCATTCTACTTAACCTTGCCCATTCTGCCCACCATTTCACCAAACACCCAATCCCGCACTCACGTGCTTGGCACTTTTGCAAACGACCGAGAAGACAAACTGGCTGTGCTGTAGGTTTTTTGCCCTTCTTGGCCACAGGCAGTGCTATAAAGTTTCTTATCACTGTCTGCAAACACTTTGAAAGATGATAGTCTTTCTTGGGGACCTTCGACCGAAAAATTTTGGTCTGTCTGTCTGTACATTTGTCTGTTTTGCTCACCTATATTGGTCTGTCTGTCTGTACATTTGTCTGTTTTGCCCACCAATATTGCTTAAGATTCAGCATTCATAGTTATGCGATTGTCAATTAAAAAGCAATTATTACGCATATCTGAGGCACCATAACAACATGTCGATGTTTTGTATGTGTGCCTTCATACTAGAAGAGGCACACACAAGTAACTATAAGGACTGTAGCGTTTATCGCGCTGCACTGACAGTGCAATGCGATGCTCAAAAAGTTAACTGTTTCCAACACTTTGCTAAGACCACGCGGTGGTGGCACCTGCCCGTCACTTTGCGTTCTACACCTTATCACCTCCGAGACAGGCGCGCATCTTTCTCCGCAAGCGCGCACGCCTTCGTTTTCGAAAATAACTGCTAGATGGCGCTCGGGTCTAATATGCCTCGATGCGCTCGTTCGCGTCAGCTACACGCTCGAGGCACTCTAACGCAGAGCCTCCAGAATACGATTCACCAATTTTCTTGTGCAGAACATCAAATAAACGTTTTGTTCACTCTCTCCAGGCACAAGACTATCGTCTTTCGACGACATTTGCAGTTGACATCCAGCTTCGGGACCAATTTTTTTAGTCGTAAGCACCATCTTCGACATTTGACAGGGAAGTAGGTTCTCTCTACACTGCTTGCTCCCCTTCAGTAGAAAGGGTGAGATACCACAGACGTCTCTGCTCCTTGTGGTTATGAATGCCTGCTCAGTTCAGAATAGGAGTAGCCGTTGCCACGGCGAGACGCACTCTCGTGATTCACACACACGAAACTACTGCTGAATCCTCCTCGGTGGTGGCTTCCTCCGCGTTGTTCTTGTGCTCTCTTATGACCCATTGCTTCTTGTTAGTGTTGCATTTTTAGTTGCCTCATTCGTGTCTCGGGCTCCCTGGCACTTCCTTCGTACCCCTTGCCTGCGACAAGCAGCCCGGGCACCTTCGGAAGCTGCCCCGTCGCAGTGGTCTAGTGGATAAGGTATTCGGCTGCTGACCCGCAGGTCACGAGATTCAATCCTGCTGAGGCAGCTGCATTTTCGAAAATGCTGTATGCCCGTGTGCTGATTTGGGTGCACGATAAAGAACCCCAGGTGGTTGAAATTTTCAGAGTCCTCCACTGCTGCCGCTGTCAAAATCATGTGGTGGTTTTGGGACATTAATCCCCACATATCAACCAAATCAACCTTCGGAAGATGCCAGACGTGACATGTAGCTGAAGGCACGTGTCACGTCTGCCACCTTCCAGCAGCCTTAGATGAGTCACCCTGGCTTGCTTTTTTTCAGTCCCAAAACTTTGTTTTTCTTCCTTCCTGCACTCTCTCACAAAGGTGCCATGTTCATTTTGTTTTTCGGCCGAGCCGCTTTCGTCGACGCTGCCAGCCTCTTCCTCACTGCTCGTTCCATTCTCTTCCTTCTCCTCCTCTTTCTTACCTCTATCCTTCCCGTTGTCTTCCTTCAAATCGGGATCGAAATGGGCAGCTTTCTAGCCGCTGATGCCTGCATTCTGCGTGGTCTCACTTTCCTTTTGCCGGACGTTGTTGTCGGCTGTACCTTCCCAGTTTTAAGTGCTGCTGTCCCCTCCTGTATTTTCATCTCCATTCTCTTCAACGACCACCTCTTCACCTTCCGGGGACATTACAACCTCATCACCGTGCTGAGACTACTTGACCCAATTTTAGTAGTACCGAAACAAGTCGAGCTCTTCACCTAATTGAAGTCATCCCCTTCACTCATTTTCATGAATTTCATGCCACTCATGTTCGCTACTCTCTCATCATCCCCTGACCCTGCCTCATAGCTGATATTTTTCATGTCAGTGGCGTCATGCAGGTTCGAAAAGCAAGTTTGGTAGGCATTGAATCCCTTTTTGGCAGCGCTGCTGTATCTGACATCATCTGACGATGCCTCATCAGTTATGGCCCGCTAGTTAAGACCCCTCTAGCCTCGAGCGATGTGTTGGTCCCTGTGTTGAGCCGTGAATGCCTCTAGCAGTCGTGCACACTCGAGATGCGTCTGTCACAAAAAAATCGCCCTGTGTGCCGGTGTGGGAGCTCCAAGCCCTGCCTGCCCACTGTTCCACAGGCTTTGAGTTCCATCGCGCCTCTCCCACAGGGACGCAACTTTACCGTGCCGTCTGCGGTTAGAAGTAGCTTTCACGAAAGCGTACTCTTTTAGGGGCGAAGCTCCTTAAGGCGTGCGTCTGTCCATTCCTTATATGTATGCATGTATTAGTACGTAGCCACCGGTGGCACATACCCACTCTAGAGCGGGTATGTGCCACAGGGGATGGGATATGGGAGATGGCGGTACTTAAAGTGTTCACTAAATGGACAGACGGACAAACAGACTAGCAGACGGGCGGACGGATGGATAGACGCGCAGACGTACGGACAGGTGGATGCATGAACAGACAGACAGACAGATGGATGGACAAACTCGCAGACGGATGCCTGGATGGATGCACGGATGGTTGCGCAGACGAATGAAAGCAAGAACAAACGGACTAAAGCACGGATGAGCTGACGGACTCTTCGCCCCACTCATCATCATTCACTCCGTGGATATGCTGTGATTTTTTTTTTGCATAGGAATGGCAGATACGTCCAGGTGGGACTTGCGCGGTAGTGATGAGTCAACAGAACATCAACTGTGTTCCTGTGATTGTTTTGCGTGTGAACGCAATGTGCTGCATGAAACTCTGAACAACTTGATGATAGACCTTTTTCCGAAGGGCAGATCCTCGGATCATAGCTCTATGCGTCGCAGGCCAGCAAAGCAAAGCGGGCGTTGCGAGGTTTTTTAATGTCAACTGAATTAATTGAGTGCTTGTGAGCGTGCAATGGACAGGCGCACATGTACCCGCATAGAAGGCATGGTTCAACAACCAAGGCATGGTTCAAAAACATGGAAGAGCTCACCAGCTGGGATGGCTGTAAGATGAAGTTGCGCGAGTTATTTGGTCTATCTGTCGGGTGCAAGCAGGCCGCTAAGAAAGAACTTGGCAACTGTGTCCAGACATCCACGGAGTCTTACCTGGCCTATATTCAAGATGTCTTGACCCTCTGCCGTTAGGCTGATACCATCATGACCGAAGCAGACAAGGGTGCGCACGTACTCAAGGGCATCGCTGATGAGGCCTTTAGCCTCCTTGTATTTAAAGGCTGTTCGACAGTTCAAGACATCATTAAAGAGTGCCGACGCTTTCAAGAGGCTAAAAGCCGTCGCATTGCCCACCACTTCACCCGTCTTTCTAACACCACTGCAACTTCAACTTGTGAGGACCTCCGTTTTGAGACCCAGCCCAATCCATCCTCTGCTGACATTACGAGGGTCGTTCGACGCGAAATCGAAGCAATGTTACCAGCATCCTTGAGGGTCCTGACGCCGAATAATCCTCAGCCCACCATATCCCTCATGCAGAGCGTTGTGCACCAAGCATTGGCAAACGAAAGCCTTCAGGCGATTTGTTCTGTGCACCGATCCGATGTCCATCCGCCTGCCTTGAACACCCGTCAGCACTACCGGCATCCTGCTCCACGTATTTGAGATCCAAACGCATAGAGGACGCCTGACGACAGGCCGATCTGCTTCCGGTCCGAACGAGTGGGACACATTTAGCGTCGTTGCTGAAGCACGTGGACCTCACCCTCGTGCGCAAGCCCAAACTTCACGAACTTCGATGCATAAGCCTGCCCTTCTAGCCAAGAACCACCCTGCCGTGATGACTCGGCCCATTACGACATGACTGCCACGACCAATGCCCAATACAGCCACTTGCCTTCACCGCGATGTAGATTCTCGCGGTCTCCTCCGCTGCCACCCCGCTCCCCATCCCCGTCCTTTGCCCGACGGTTTTCTTCGGGAAACTAACTGGTGCAGCTCCTGGAGGTGACGCTGCTGCTACGACTTGCCCTACAATTCCTCTGTTGACCCTCCCGACCAAACAGAACTTGATTGATGTAAAAGTGGATGGTTTATCTGGTAAAGCTTTAGTTGACACTGGCGCCCAAATTTCTGTTATGAGCTTGCACTTTCGTGACCGCTTAAAGAAAGTCTTGACTCAAGCCCCTTCACGCTGTGTTCGTGTTGCTGACGGCAGTGCAGCTGCCGTCGTTGGTGTCTGCACAGCACACGTTACTATAGCCGGCCATCAAACCTTCGTT